TATATATATATATATATATGTTTACACAATGTTGTAATTGTTATATGTATATATATATACACATGTATACACGATATATATAGATGTGTAGTGGTTGTAACCACGATTGGATTGATATTTATATACTCATCGAGTCGGTTTTTTATTAGGCTTTATTGGGTTTTACTGGGCCTGAATGAGATTTATTCGGTTTTATTGGGCCTTAATGGGCTTTATTCGGTTATATTGGGCCTTAATGGTCTTTATTAGGCTTTATTGGGCCTTAATGGGCTTTATTCGGTTTTATTGGGCCTTAATGGGCTTTATTCGGTTATATTGGGCCTTAATGGGCTTTATTCGGTTCTATTTGAGTCTTAATGAGTTTTATTCGATTTGGTTGGGCCTTAATGGGCTTATAACACATTCACATATCACGGTTAGCAACCACAACGTATTATATATATATACACACACACACACAAACAACACATGTACATGCATACAAACGACAACGACACATAAAAATATGTACATATAACACATAAAAATGAGAAAATAGGGAATCTTGGGCAAAATCCCTCGCTAATCCCTCACAGATCAGCGAGGGATCAACGAGGGAATTGGCAAAAGTCAGATTCCCTCGCTGATCCCTCGCTGATCTGTGAGGGATCTGCGAGGGAAATGACAAAAATCAAAATCCCTCGCTGATCCCTCGTTGATCTGCGAGGGAATATACTCTTTGAAACTTCCCTCGCTGATCCCCTCACAGATCAGCGAGGGATCAGCGAGGGATTTTGATTTTTGCTAATTCCCTCGCTGATCCCTCGCTGATCTGCGAGGGATCAGCGAGGGATTTTGCAAAAATCATTTTCCCTCACTGATCCCTCGCTGATTTTCATATTTTTTCTATTTTCTCATTTTTATGAGCTTGATTCGGTTTCATTGGGCCTTAATGGGCTTTATTCRAATTTATTGGGCCTTAATGAGATTTATTCGGTTTTATTGGGCCTTAATGGGCCGGGGACCGGTATGGACCGCCGATTATGAACCGGGTATTGATTTTAACGTTTTTTAGGACCGACACCGGTTAAGACCGGAACCGGTTATGTAACCGGTTATAGGACCGGCTCGGCCCGGCCCGGTCAACAAAAGTCAACGTGTATATATATATCTGCGAGGGATCAGTGATATATATATAATAATACATATATATATATATATATATATACATACCGATTTCATGAAAGAATTTGCGAGGGAATTAATCCGTCGCTGAGTTTTTAAAAAAAAGTGGGTCAACTTATGCGACGGAAATGGTCCGTCGCTGATTTTTTTTACAATTACCTAATTTTCATATTATATATATGCCGATTTCATGAAAGCATTTGCGAGGGAAATAATCCGTCGCTGATTTTTTTTAAAAAAGTGTCAATTTTTGCGACGGAAGATGTCCGTCGCTGATTTTTTTAACAATTACCTATTTTCATATTATTTATATATATATATATATATATATATATATATATATATATACCGATTTCATGAAAGCATTTGCGAGGGAACTAATCCGTCGCTGATTTTTTTAAAAAAAGTGTCACTTTTTGCGACGGAATTGGTCCGTCGCTGATTTTTTTTACAATTACCTAGGTCACGCTCCTTTTCACTTTACACTGCACACTCCTTTCACTTTTTACAGACGCGAGATCGAGAGAGATAGAGAGATAGAGAGATAGAGAGAGATAGAGAGATAGAGGCGAGATCGAGAGAGATAGAGAGATAGAGGCGACCACCGGCGCCGTCCTCCCCTTTGCGACCACCACAGTTGCGCCGTCCTCCCCTTTGCGACCGCCGTCTTCCTCGCCGTCGTCTTCACCGTCGCCGGAGTCGCCGTCCCTGTTCCGACCAGATTGACAACAGGGTCTGTTTAGGTATGATTTATGATATGATTTATGGTAGTTTAGA